TAGAAATGAGGATCAGATGAAGAGAAATCCTAGTATGGGGAAAGTGAGATTCGTGGGGTAAGAGGATGGGGATGGGATAGGATGAGGAGTGGGATTGGGGTTTGTAATTTTGAGGAGCGGGTGGAGGGGTAATTTTTATATTTATTGTCGTTATGAGATATCACTGGGTGCGAATTGAATTTTGGAATTTCGGAATTGGAATGGGGAATTTATGTACGTATGTATGTATGTGTGTATTTTTGTATTTTTGGATCGGCAGATGTTGATGTTGATGTGGATGTGGATGTGGATGTGGATGTGGATGTGGATGTGGATGTGGATGTGGATGTGGATGTGGATGTGGATGGGGTGTCTTGTTTACTTTCATGATCTTACATTGATTGATTGATTGATGGATGGATGGGTTTGGGTTATATTTGCTTATACCCCTCTTGATTACTTTTATATTTATACATTCTATAGGAAGGGAAGGGGGAAGTGGGAAGGAATTTACATCGTTAGATGGTGTGGATGGAGATGGAGGCTTGGGAGGGGGATAGTTTTTGTACAAATAGATAGATGAAGGGTGGATGGATGTAGGTGTATACTAGGTATGTGGTGATAGAGAGAAAGGTTTATATTATAAATAGATAGATGATATAGAGAGTTGACAATCGAACTCGGACTCGAACGCAATTGAAGTTTAATATTTTTAATTGAATGGATATTCTTGTATGTGTTGATTTCATCAGGTAGGTAGGTAGGTAGGTAGGTAGGTAGGTTAATTGGCAGGGTAATGTTGATATGAATGGCGATTGTCAAATGTCAAGTGTCAAATGTTAAGAACACCGAAAAAAATGTAGAATACCATGTATCTATGCATCCATGGAGGTAGGTACCTAGGTATTCCGTGATCAGGAGTAGCTCGGCTGCGGGATACTTCCGAGGTTAGTATAGTAAGTAGGTAGGTAGGTAGGTATTTAGTATTATAATATTTACCTAGGTAGTATACAGTATAGATAGAATATGGATGGATGTACTCGTAAGATGTGTAGAAAAGTCTGGATGCATGATGGGTGGATTGTTTTGGGATTAGTGGTGATGGGGTTCTGATTAGTGTGTGATGTGTGATGTGTGATGAGTGATGGGTTGGTGGTTAAGAGGCTGGTTTTTGGGGGGAGGGAGCGGGGTGGTGGGTGGTGGTTGGTGAATGGATGGTGGATGGTGGATGGTTTGGCTTAGGCTTGGTTGCGAGTCAGAGGTTAGAGGAGGAAGACATGTTGGGTTTGGGTTGGTTTGGGTTGAGGACTGGATGGATGGATGGATGGATGGATGGATGGATGGATAGATAGATGGATAGATGGAGGGGGGCAGGGAGGAGAGGAGAGAGGAGAGAGGAGAGAGGAAGGAAGATTTGGGGATGAGAAGTGTGTGTGTTTGTTTGTATGTCTGTGTTTGTGTGCACAGTGTGGGAATGTTGGTATGTAAATGTAAATGTAAATGTAAATATAATTTAATTGAATGCTGTATGTATATGGTATTATTTACCTATGTATCCAAACTACAGTACAGTACTCACTCGCATCTACTCTTTAAAGTTGGGTTTGGTGGGATGGTGGGCTGGTACATGCAATATATTGGATTGGGGTTTAGGTATGAAAACTAGCCAACTAGCTAATTAGGTGCTGTTTGTGCGTGGTGAGGTGATTCTGTTTGTGGGATCTTTGGATTGATCTGGAGATCTGGGGATGCCCAGGTGGGTGATGGTGAGACATATGTTGTCATTGAATTTGGAGATGTGGTTTAAACTTTTTATTGGGAAAAATCTTTTTGAGCTGGTTTGACAGTGGGTGGTTGTTTGTGATTGTTTAAGGATGGGATGGGATGGAGAGAGATGAGATGGGATGGGGAGAGATGAGATGAGATGGAATTCATTAATTGATTAATTTGATACTTTATTAGTTCTTCAATGTAGATATTATCGTGAATTGTTAGATGATAGCTGATCAACTCTGAAATTAGAAACCAAAATTCTACTTTGGTGAATATGGATCCTCATAAAATTGGAGAGGACAAGGGCATGTAAATCTCCACACTGTACAAGTTTGATCAGCTTGTCAATGTGGTGGTGGATTTACAGGAGAGAGCTTGCTGCATCCTGATGATGATTGGTTGATTTGTACAACCAAGAATCTTGAATTTTGAACATCTGGAAAGGAAAGGAAAGCAAAGCAAAGCAAAGCAAAGCAAAGCAAAGCAAAGCAAGCACAGCAGGGCAAACCAATGAACAGGGTCAAGAAATATCTAGCTAGAACATTAGATCGTCGCTCTTCTAACAAGACCAAATTTACTTCCTTTCCTTTACATCATTGACCTCACTGTTTGCCTTGCACTTAAAGGCTTTTGCTTATTCATGATCAATTTTATTTTACTTCTAACGATATTATTCATATTTTGAGAGATAAGATTATTGAGGATACCTAGAGGGAGGATACCTAGAGAGAGGAGATCCACCCCCGCGGTTTGGGCACATAGAACAAGAGCAGTATAATCTTGAGCGCGATGGCGATAGACGACGCGTCGCAGAGTTGGATGGGGGCGTCGATGAAGCATGTTTCTCTTATTTCAGTGAGGATCTACTTTGATGACTTTGAGGAATGTACGTATGCTAATACTTTTCACAGCTTACTTTTCAAAACTCGGCCCTCATTCTTGTACGTTGACATGATCGAAATGCTTCTACTTTTTCTTCGACACGATATATTGGGGGGAAGGTTGGCTAATATGGTTTTAGATAATGCATTATAGTAGGATAATGCCATTAGGGGGTGGGCATAGATATTTCACATCAACCGCGGTTTTCCTTAATGAGATCTTGAAGCTGGCTGTTTCCTTGACGATTGCCATGTACGATATTTCACGAACGTTGCCCCCCTCTACACCAGCTACGGTTCTTTTTGAGCAATTGTATATGTCTGTGTTCTCTGGAGATGGGTGGAAATTGGCTATCCCAGCTACTCTGTACACCCTGCAGAATTCCTTACAATACATTGCTGTGAGCAATTTGGAAGCTGTGCAATTTCAGGTTTTATATCAATTGAAGGTTTGTTCTGTCTATTGCATGTGCGGGATGATTGTTCGCTAATTTGGCTATGTAGATCCTCACAACGGCGATTTTCAGTGTGGTTTTGCTTAGGAGGGCACTTTCTTCTAAACGATGGATCGCTCTAGTTTTGCTCACAGTTGGTGTTACGATTGTGCAATTACCCGGCGGTACCCCGTCTGCCTATTCGACGATGAATGATTCACAATCCCGGTTCTACTTTCCACGCTCTTTTCATGAGTTGGGACAAATCGGCAATGGCGCAGTGGAAGTGGCAGCCGAATTGACAAAACGTGGCATGGAGGGGGTTTCCGAAGGTCTTACGAAACGATCTGCTACATATGAGGGAATACAAGAAGATCAAGGACTCGTCAAACCAGTTATGAATTATTCAATTGGTCTTATGGCTGTGTTGGGCGCGGCGGTCATATCAGGTCTCACAGGGGTATATTTTGAGAAGGTGCTAAAGGAATCCACGACTCATGTTACGATCTGGACGAGGAATGTTCAGCTTTCTTTCTATTCTCTCTTTCCAGCATTCATTTTTGGAGTGATATTCAAAGATGGAGAGGAAATTGCGAAAAATGGTTTCTTTGATGGCTATAATGCGATCGTTTGGACAGCGATTGTTATGCAAGCTTTGGGAGGGATTCTCGTTGCACTTTGCATAAATTATAGTGACAATATCGCGAAGAATTTTGCAACAAGTATTAGCATTGTTATTAGTTTTATCTTCAGCGTTTGGTTTTTTGACTTCAAGGTTACACTCAATGTAAGGCTTTGGAGAGAATTACTTTAGAGAATTGTTACTAATGTATTCATAGTTCCTTATCGGTACATCGATAGTTCTTTTTGCAACATGGCTCTACAGCGGTCCGGAGAGGAAACGTAATAGACCTCCACCAATCAATATCGCGAGTTATGAGAAGACGACGATTGATAATGGATTTACGCCAAAGTACGAAGAGGATAGGTCAAGTTTGACGTTGGATCCATTGAATGGGCTGAAAGGCCCAGGAGCGGGAGCCTCGTTATCAACTAGTAGGCCTAGTTCGCCTATGAGACATCATTCGAGGGTGGGAAGTTCGAGAGGAAAGGTCAAGAGGGATGATTGATCTCTGGGTGGATAGGTTGAATAGACTGGGGTTGAAGTTGATAGTGCGCGAGTTGCAGCGGGGTCCTTTAATGCATACTTCACTTTAGCGAGCGATTTATCATCCCAGATTTCTCGAGCATCGACAATGGTTTCATACTGTTGGAAACTCCATAGAGATCACTTGAGGATTGGGTGAAGAGGTAAAGAAGGGGTGAAGCGTCATGACGAAATGTAGAGATGAAGAAAATGATACCTGGGTGGGGAAAAAAGATGTTTTGCGAGCACACGCATAGGATACCTATGGGATAGCGAAATACTACATACATGATTAGGGAAAGTCAGCTGGAATGATTTTTCTGTACGAAAAAGGCAATGAAAAGGAAGGGAATGGATGAAGGGCACGTGACGCTTGACCTGTGATAGATACGAGAAGGAGATCCTCTTGATGTTGACACGGTTTGAGACTTTTGATAGTACAATCTTAAGATTTCATGCATTGCACGATATATTTTGCTCGATTTTTAAAGTGAAGAATCTCAACGTGGTTGGTAGGTGAAGAATAAAGCGAAGTGAGGTCAAAAATGGAAAGTACGCTAAACAACTGAGGGGTACCAACATCAATGGTTGCCTTCAACGCACACATACACTTCATTTCATTATTTCTCATGTGTTGATGAAATTTTTTCTTATGGTAAAAGAGAGTTATCTGATACTTCCTATTCCTTTCCAATCTCTTTTTCATTTATCATCAATCCTGAAACGGCTTCAGATGACATACGAACAGTCAAGCAAAGTCTTGCTCCACGTCGAGTGAAAGTCACCATGGATAGAGGCTGGGATCCTCATCTCCAGAAAATCATGAATAGTGCAGTTGGCAATACATCTGGTAGTGTACCTCATCATGAAGATGGAAAAGATATAGGATTTTCTACAAACTTCTTCACGGGTAAAGACTCTCAACAGTTACTCCCAGAACCAGGATTTGCCTTTGGACCATCTCCAATGCAACATACTCAACAAATTACTGGTTCATACGACCAGGATTTGAACGTGCGAGGTCGTTATAACAGCATAGAACATAATGAATCGACTGGATATTTGATGGCACCTAGAGAGGAACCAACTTCTGCGGGTTTTACTTTTGCTCCGGGACCAAGGCAGCCTGGGCAAAGGATTTCGCCTCTTGGTCCGAATACAGATGCGCGAGCTTCGTATGATATTCCGGGACATGATCCACTTCAGGGGTACTTGAGTCGTCCTTTGTTTGAGTTCTCCCAACCTATGCAAAGACTCGCTGCATATTCTACGACTGGTATTGGTAATGGGCAAGGTCGCTTATCTCTTCCTAGATTTTCTTCTCATGTTGGCGGCCAAGCAGAATCCAAGGCTCCCGTGGAACGAAAGGAACCAAGGATTCTGACCAGAACAGATAATCACTTCAAACAGCAGATCTTGCAGGATATCGAGTTGAAAACTAAATCTGGAAATAGACCCGCACATCTTTCCAATTCTGGTGTTGGTGAAGGACAGAGTCCTCTTACTCAGCTTGCCAATAATATGATCTCGCAGGCGTCAATGTCGATGCCCCGACCTATGGGACTTAGCCCTCCAAAACAGAACATTTTTCAGACCCAACTGGAGAGACCACAGCAGTTTCAGCAGCAGAACCAACAGGCTTTTACACCACCGTCTACTAGAATGGACTTGAGTATGCCATTTATCATTGCTTTCTTGAATTGATGCGGACTATGTCGGCTAATTATTTTAGGTGCCTTCGCCTATAGACCTCCTGAACGCATAAATACATCCATAAACTCTTCTCCTTCCGAACTTTCAGTTTCGAGTCCTAGTGCTAGAGTCAGTTCACGTCGAAATTCGAATCGCCGTTTACCTTCGCAAAATATAAAAGCCACAGGGCAGGGGCTTGAACACCAGTATAAAACTCCACATACACCTCAGAATCAGGTTTCATCGAGTGAGAGATATGCTCTATCATCGAGAGTCTCTCAAGGGCAGGAGATCGGTCATAGTTTAGAGCATTCGGGTTTCTCGCCTGCTCAGACATACCCTGGCAATGCTGGACAATTTGAAAATGACCGTCAGATTATTCCCTTTGCGAATGGACCACCAATGGCACACGGAATTCAGCTCATCTCCCCTCATGAACTTCCGGATCGATTTCGCCAAGTCTTCCCGTACGAAATCTTCAATGCTGTGCAATCCAAATGTTTTGCGCCAATCTATAAGAACAATAATAATATTGTTGTCTCTGCTCCTACTGGAAGTGGCAAGACGGCTCTTCTGGAACTTGCTATTTGTAAGCTAGTTGAAAGCTATGGTTCTGGACAGTTCAAGATCGTATATCAAGCACCGATTAAATCTCTCTGTTCGGAACGTATGAGGGATTGGACCAAGAAGTTTAGTCATTTGAATTTACCTGTTGCGGAACTTACTGGTGACACTAGCAATGCCGAAATGAGTCGAGTAGGGAACGCATCGATCATTATCACCACACCTGAGAAATGGGATAGTATTACACGAAAATGGACGGATTATCAGAAGCTTCTGCAATTGGTGAAACTTTTCTTGATTGATGAGGTTCATATCCTTAAAGACGCTAGAGGGGCCACTCTTGAGGCTGTAGTTTCTCGGATGCATTCTATTGGAGCCAGTGTTCGGTTTGTTGCTTTGAGTGCTACCGTTCCTAATGCGTAAGTAGATATTTATTGGCGCAGCACTTTTCAAACACTAATGGATTTATGCTCCAGACATGATATTGCCACTTGGCTAGGAAGGGATTCAAGCAGTCGACAATTACCTGCTCATCGAGAAACGTTCGGTGAAGAATTTCGACCTGTCAAGTTACGGAAACATGTTCATGGATATGAGAGTCGTGCAAATGATTTTGCTTTCGAGAAAATCCTTGATGGCAAGTTGCCGGCTTTGATTCAAAAATATTCTTGTAAGAAGCCTATCATGGTTTTTTGCTTCACAAGAAAATCATGCGAGGGCACGGCAGCTATTCTAGCAGAACATTGGACTCGACAAAGAGTTGTTGACCGTGCTTGGCCAGCTCCAACTATTCGAACAGTGGTAGGAAGTAAAGATCTACAAGAGTTGGTTGGATGCGGTGTTGCTTATCATCATGCAGGTCTTGATGCGCAAGACAGATGTGTTATTGAGACAGCATATCTGAAAGGAGATATCAGTGTAATATGTTGTACTTCGACATTAGCTGTTGGAGTCAATTTACCTTGTCATCTTGTGGTTCTGAAGGGGACAGTTTGCTTTCAAGATAGTGGACTTGTTGAGTATTCCGACCTCGAGGTTATGCAAATGTTAGGCCGTGCTGGAAGACCTCAGTTTGATGATAGTGCTATTGCAATCATTATGACTCGAATGGAGAAAGCAGATCGATACAAAAAGATGATTTCGGGTCAAGATATCTTGGAGAGTACGCTACACTTGAATCTTATCGAACATCTCAACTCGGAAATCGGACTTCGCACCATCAAGACTGCTTATGAAGCCAAGATTTGGTTAGGGGGGACATTTTTGAGTGTCAGGATGAGACAGAATCCTAAGTATTACACATTTTCTGGGATTGTTCCTAGTAGAGATGCGGACGAACAGCTCGAATTGGTATGTGAGAGAGACATCAAACTGCTTCAAGAATATGAGCTGGTCACAAAGGAGGTAAATTTTTCGTGCACAGATTACGGTGCTGCTATGAGTCGATACATGGTTCAGTTTGAAACGATGAAATTATTATTGAGTATTCCTCGTCATTCGAAGACGGAAGTAATCTTGAATACCATATGCCAAGCAGCAGAATTTAAAGACCTTCGAATGAAGCCGAACGAACGATCAAGTCTTCGAGAATTCAACAAATCACCAATGATGAAGTTTCCAATCAAGGAGAATATATCAACAACAGGTCATAAAATCTTTCTTATGATTCAAGTACAATTAGGTGGCATTGAACCATTAACGAATAACGACTTTCGAGTCATCAGCCGACAGTTCGCGATGGAGACTAATATCATACTTGAACGATTTCAACGCTTGATTCGATGTGTTGTTGATTGTAAATCTGTGGATTGTGATTCAATCTCTGTACGTTGTGCTCTTGACCTTTGTAGGAGTGTTACAGCGGGTTACTGGGAGAATTCATCTTTACAATTGAGGCAAGTTCCTCAAATAGGACCAGCTTCTTTACGAAAACTGGCTGGGAACAATGTCAATACTGTTGAGAAGCTTGCTGGGCTTGATACGGCAGGGATTGAGAGAGTTATGGGAAAGAATCCTCCATTTGGGAAGAAGATGAAGGATAATTTGATTGAATTTCCTCAATTGACTCTCACTACTCAAATTGTTGGGAGAGCCTTTTCAAAAGTAGGAGAGCAACCAAAGATTAATGTCAATGCTGTACTTGGTTATGCGAATGCAAAGGTACCGAACTGGTCCGGTAGGATACCTTCAATAACCTTCATAGCCGAGACATCTAGCGGTACTTTGGTGTATTTCTCGCGTATGAACATCAAAAAGTTGTCGAATGGTGGTTCTAAACAAGAGTTTACTGTTGAACTTTCATCACCGGATGATGAGATCAAATGTTGGCTTGCATGCGATGAGATTGTTGGTACTCTGAAATCTTGCGTTCTACAGCACCATGTTCCCGCATCTGAGTTTCCTCCTCCGAAAGTTATGGTTGAGCGGCCGAGCATAAAGAAGTCTAAGCCAGAATATATGGGAACTTCTGATGAATTCGATGATGGTATTGATGATGATGCTATGCTCGCAGTAGCTAAGCAAATCGAAGGTGGACGTCGAGCTTCTAGTGATTATGGCTCGGATGCTTTTGTTGATATTGATACAGTTAGTCTGGGCAATTTCAAAGAGGATAAGAAAGCCAAAGGAGACATCGTCGAACTAGAGCCTGTGAAGATGGAAAATGGAAAATGGGCTTGTAATCATCATTGCCGTGATGGAAATCCTTTGAAAAACGGTCAGCTCTGCAAGCACAGGTGTTGTAGGGAAGGTTTGGATAAACCTAGAAAGATTACGAGAAAGAAGTCTTCCACTGGAATTACCGAATCTCAAGCTTCGAAGATTGACGATAAGATTAAGGGGACTGTGACCAAGTCCAATATGAGCAATACTCAACCTTCTGGTACCAAACAGCTCTCGAAGCCGACCAAGAAACCTAAGATTATGCAATCGTTGGGTCCAAGTTCGGATCAAGACGTTGTTGAAGTAATTGATCTTTCGAAAACTTTGCCTCCAGTAACATACCCCGATGTTGCTCCTAGAGATTATCGCAAATTACATAACTTGCACACAAGTATTCAAAAAGATACATCTGTTCGACTTCCAAAAGGCCAAACCAAGTTCTCTTATGCAAGTGGACAAATGACAAATCTTTCATTCATGGATGCTGATGGCTTTAAGGACGAGCAAAAAAATGAATCGGAACATTTTGATTCTGATGAGTATGAATTTCCTTCTCCTTCTGCTCTTTTAAGCAGTGAAAAGCAAGCGTCTAAAGGTTTTCCTGTCTCTGCAACTCAGTTACCACCTCCAGCTATGGGCATGGATATCTCTAGGCAAGATAAAAATGAGCAACAAACTCTTTCAGATGACCCATTTGAAGATTCATCTGGTAGTCTCGAAGCTGCGATGATAGGTTTGGAAGATTCTATCAACCTTCGAACTGCTCCAGCTACTCCCAAGCTCAATACAAGCTTCGCTAATAATGTGTTTGACTTTGCGGCATTCAATTCTGAGGAAGTCAATGAACAACAATTCTCTAGTCCATTGATGAGCCAGATGCAAAAAGAATATCATGAAGGAGAAGATGATGAGATTGATAGTATTGATGTTGGTATGCCATCTGCAAAGCGTCAGCAGTCAAGTCCGTGGATGAAAGATTTCCAAAATGGTAATGTGATGGGATATGAGCAGTGGAGTGAAAATGAGAACGAGGATAATGATGGTCCGGTATTGCCTCAGATGAAAAGAAGAAGGATTGATGTGGAAGGTGAGGATGAGATTCGTGGAGGTATGGAAAGCACGGGAAAGGATTCGGAAGACGCTATTAAATATACTAGTGGAAGTAGTGCTACAGTATGGATCAATGAGATGGGTTCTAGAACCATGGAATCGGATACAGGGAATGGCGGTGATAATGAGCAGAGTGAAAATTTGAAGGCCGATGTCCGTCAAGAACCTGCTTGGGTGTGTGAGATGGATCCAGATTTCATTGATATGTTTAGAGGATATGTGGATTTTGTTGAATGATGGAAGAGTTGCATTGTCATCAAGGATGGTCAGATGAATTGAGGATGTTATGATGGATTATGTGAGAGATAGTTGGCTGGGTATATTTGGGATTTGGGAGAAGTATATAAGTGAAACTACCTATCGCTATATTGCTGGGCGAATTGAAGATAAAGGGAAATAAGCTAGAGCTATGTTGGCTGAGAAATTATTTTTATCACGATTTATAGCAAATTATTGTTAGCGCTTACATATGAATTATATACGATAAAATCATCAGTGTCTATCTATTGACACTGATTTGGTATTATCTTGAGAATCAATTATGTATTTGATTTGGGAAGTTTCCCTTTATTTCTCTCCTGCTCTCTCTTACCCACCATTTTCTTTCTTTCTTTCTTTCTTTCTTTCTTTCTCTCTCTTCTCCTGCTTCTCATTCTATACCTAAAACTTTACATTGCAGTAGTAGCAAGTAACAAGTAGCTGCAGGAAAAAGATAATCTCTCAATTAGTATCCAATATAAGTACGAATACAAATACAAATCGAAACTGAAGCCTATTGCTAGTGCCAACGCTACCTCTATTGCTATTGCTAATACAATTACAAATGCTTAATGCCCAATGCCCAATGCCTAACCAGAACCAGAACCAGAAACGGAAAGTTAAAGATCAAAAATCCACCCACCCATCCGTCCCAAAACCAAAAGAAATCCCATATCGGACATTCATCTCATCTCATCTCATCTCATCTCGTTTCATTTCATCTTGGCTCTTTTCGTAATCGTATATAAGAGTTGAGGCCCCGGCTTATCGCACACCACTCATTTTTCGGTCTAATTTTTTAAAATTTAATAATAAATCAATTATATAATATAATCTTATAAAACTTGAATATTATATTAATGAATAGTAACTAATCCTTATATTTCAATTATATTTTTAATTTTATAAGTCAATCTTTTAATATATAATCTGAAATCTAAGGGATCTATTTAATCTCAAAAAGCTTATAAATTATATTTTAATTTCTTTATAGAAGTAAATATAAATGGTAGCTTTTTTAGTTCCTTTTTTATTTATTATCATATTTTTTTAATTGGATTAAGATCCGGAAAGGAGAGTAGTTAATCAAAGCCTTATATACTATATTCCAATCGAACTTTATAGGCATACCCGAAATACATTTTAGAATTATTCTTTATAAATATATATTCAGATTCTAGTTTATTGAATAATGGGAATATAATAGACTTAAGGATTTATTATATATATATTTTGGAAATAATATCTTTATTGTCTTTAAGTTTTTTCAAAAAGATTAATAGAGATTTATAGTTTTAACTGATTATATTTTATATTATTATTAACACTTTTCCTAATTGATATACTGATTTAATATAATCAATACATTTTTTTTTATTAATCTATTTAGCAATCTATATCCTATTTGCTTTTTCTAATTCAAAAGTGCTTTTGTTTGATTATATAATTAACCTCTAATCCCTCTCTTTTAATCTAATGATAGTAATATTACTAATTCCCTATTAGTAATGGTTATATATAAAATCTAGCCTCTTTTTTGCTTATATCCTCGAGATAAAAAGCCTAGGATATACTATATATCTTCTATACTTATATCAATATAATTCCTTTTGAATTGTATATATCAAAACCTTAATATCAAATATATTTTTAATTTATTCAAAAGTTATTCTTCTTCTACTCTAATCTTTAACAATTGTTCTTATAATTCAATAAATCTTTTTAGTAATTATTATAGGCTTTTGATAAACCTTTTTTTTCGAATTCTTCTAATCGAATTAGATTTAATTATACTTTTTGTAATAAATTATGATACACCTAAATTTGAAGTAATCCATCCCCAGGATTTTCTATTAATTCTAGTTTGAATAATTTTAGAATATCGAGAAATATACTAATTTTAATAAAATTTATGATTATTATCTTTGTGATTATATTTAATATCCATTTTGAATTTGAGTCAAAAATAATGAATTTTAGAATAATAATTGAATTTTTAAAAAAAGATATGCGAAATTAGGTGGCTACCCTAATCTCGCTTAAATGTGCGATAAGCCGGGGCCTCAACTCTTACATTTCTCGGTTATGCTTTCATACTCTCATCTCTTCATACCTTCATTCCTTTCGTACTTTCATCTCTTCATGCCCGGATAAGTAAAGCTGAAAACTCTCCTTTTAGTTCCTTTAATACCCTTGCCTCCCGTTGTATCAGTTGGACTTATGGGACTCGTAATGAAATGTCCATGTCCATGTCCTATCTCATCATCGTCATCCTCTACACTTGCACCCGCACCCGCACCCGCACCCGACGCAACACCAACACCAGCATCGGCTAAACTCCCCTTTCTCATTCTTAAATGCGTAGATGTTCTCGCCACCCCTGTACCACTACTGATCGGTCTCTCTCTTTCTATCTCCTGCTCTCCCGCTCGCGATTCAGAATGCATAATCCGAGGTCTCTCGAGTAATTCCGCAATTTCTCTTTCCCCCTCCTCCAGCTCCTCTTGACTCTTCTTTCCATCCCCACCCATCTCAAAACCCATATCTCCATCCTCTCCCCTAACCGCCGCCTCCAACCTTCTCCACACTCCCGCATCCTTCTCCAACTCCTGCCACGCTTCGATATCATTTCCCCAAAAAGTCTTCCTCACGCTACTCACTCCCACCTCCAACAACGTCACCGCCGCCAAGATAACAATTAACGTGCACCACCAAAGTGGATTGCTACCAAAGTGATGAATGAACCCATCGCGGACATTGTAGGTGAGTGATTCTGGGGAATAGAGGGCGGAAAGGAGAAGATTCCAGAGGAACCAGCCGCCTATGCTGAGAATGAGACCGATGGCTGTGATGTAGGTTTTGCTGTGCATTTCTAGGATACTATGGGGGAGGGATATTAGCATGGGATTGCGGGTTGGTGGAAAGGGGTATGTATGGGATGAGATGACAATGGAAACGAAACGGGAAATGAAAATGGAAATGAAGATGAAAAGGAAAAAGACAATCGAGTACTCACAGAAGTTTCGTAACGATAATAATCACCGCCGCCGTGAAACACAAATCTCCCAACGAATACAAAGTATTATCATCCGTGAACCTCGATTCTCCAAAAAGTCCATACGCCAAAAAGAAGATGATGATCATTTCGCTCGCCGCCATGAAGGTCCAACCAAAATACTTTTTCAAATTAAACGCTTCATTACGTTGTCCATACGTGTAGAGTTCCGGGACGGCAAGAAGCGTGGTAGCCGAAAGATCTTGATCGAATACACCGAGGAAGATAACACATAGTGATGTGAAGAGCGTATTGAAAACAGTTAGAGAAGCGGATTCAAAGAGGGAAGTTCCAGAATAACCATTCCACTTTTGGTAGATGGCTTGAATCATGTAGAACAGGAATTCTTTCCAAAAGGTCGCCAAGATGTATTTTCCCGTGCGCACATAATTCCAATGCCCATGGACGAACAAGAGACGTTGAAGAAATCGAAATTGAGCGATAGAGTAATCGGATATACGAGCTGCTTGAAGACCTTCCTTGCCGCTGATGCCGATTCCGACGTGAGCTTCTTGAATCATGGCGATGTCGTTTGCGCCGTCGCCAATGGCTAGCGTGATGGATTTATTGACTTTAGTTCGGATTTTCTTTACCAGCGATGCTTTTTGACTGGGGCTTGCTCGACAACAAATGACTGAATCGGCTTGGACGACGAGATCGAAGAACAATAGAGAAAGTGTTTGGTTCGCATCGATATCCGAAAGGGTTTGTCCGTCCACGACGATAACCGAGTGAGCGACATTTCCATTGTTGATATCAATTAATGTAGTAGCCATTCGTTGCTCAACTTCACCAGTAGTGCGATCCAGAATGACGACTTCCGAATAATGTTTTGCAATCCTCGCCGAGTGCGCGATATTAATAGCCGTCTCTCGCTTATCACCCGTAAGCATCCAAATCTTGATATTCGCTCTCCTCAATTTATCTACCGTTTCCGGAACACCTTTTTGAAGTTTATCTTCAATGGCCGTGGCTCCCGCAAGATCAAAATCTTGTTCTATCATCTCTCCTGCATTTTCAATCATGTTTTGACGATCTACTAGACTCGTTGTCGCATCCAAATATATCTTCTTCCATCCAGCATATTCTTGCTCTTCCAAGAATCTATAACCATATAACAAAGTTCGAAGTCCCTCGCCAGCAAAATCATCAATATGTTGAAAACAACGTTCAAAAACAGCAGCATCATCCAAAACCAATGCTTCATCAACAAACTCATCAAAATGTTCAGTTTGCATAGAAGTTCTAACGTCCGAAGAAGCGAAAGAAGATCGACCCATAGCCATTGAAGTTCTCGGAGTTCTATAAGCATCAGCCGATCCATGCAAATCTGGCAATTCAACATCACTTTCTCTTTCTCTCAACCAAGAATCAAGCTCATCTCGTATAGGTTGTAATCGAGTACTGGCCATACTTGGTCTTCCACCCCCAATACTTTTCCGATTTCGACTTAAACTTGATCGTGGAAGATTCATACTAGGTCGACTGTAACTTGTCCTAGGACTACTTTCACTCATTCTTCGTAGTGCTTCCTCGGCTTCTAAACTCTTTCTCACACTTGATCTTCTCTGGACCTCGGAAGCTTTCTGCATAGCTAATGGCGCGAGCTTCAAACGTGGCAGGATTGAAGAATCTGCACCTTTACAAAAGATACAAATCCTTCCATTAGGAAAACGGACGATAATCGACATTCGCTTTCGCTTACTCGAAAATTCAATCACATCAAGAACTTCATAGGTTTCCGTAATATCCTCGGATTCACTCGGAATGGTCAAAGTAATAGAACGAGCAGGTCTATCTATGACCAAATATCCAAGTTCTTGAGCTGCTTGTACCAAAGCCAATTCATCAGGAGATGCAGCTTGGAATTCAATATGCCCATTTTCTCGAACTTCCGGAAGACATGTATGACAAAGTGCAATGGACAAGAGGAAGAATTTAGCCTTCTTAGTAAATATACCATGAGGTTTACTTTGCATATATCGAATCATTTCCTCAGTTCGAAATTCAGGTTGAATACGATTCGGTTGTGCTGATGATCTCCAGACAGATCCTGATCTTCTAGGAAGATCGGTGGTTGAGCTGTTCAATCTATCATCCTCTACATGAGACTGATGTGTTCGTTTCTTCGAAAAGTGTTTAGAGACTCCCTTGCCTTTATTTTTTGACTTCACTTTATCTCCTTTACTCACATCCAACTCTAGTTCAGCCGCTTCTCGAACTAAATCAAAATCATGAAGCCAAGCATATCCAGCAACACTGAGTTTTCGAAAACGCATAACATTATCGGTCAAAGTACCCGTTTTATCGGAAAACACATAACTAATCTGACCCAAATTTTCGAGAATCGTAGACGTATTTGAAACCATCGGAGTATTCGATACGGGATCATACATCTCAACATCATGCATGAGAAGTAATTGTCCAACCTTGATAATTTCCAAACTAACATATAGCGAAAGTGGAATCAATGTATTGAAGAGGATGATAAATGCAACAATAGAGTAGCTGAATTTAAAGTGCGCTCCTGTCAAATACCAAGAATTATTCTCGACATTCTGGGACCATACTTGATATGCAATGGTACAAAACAAAGCAAGGATAATGACAAATATGACGAGAATAATGACAATATTGTTTGCAATCTTTTGCATCTCGGGTGCTTTCGTTCGAGGATTTTTATTGGCGTTCATTCTAATCTTGCACTCTTCGCCCGTGTTGAGAATCATACCAATGGCATTAGGCGTATTCCTCAAAATACTTCCTCGGAAAACAATCTCATTGGTTGTGAGTGGTAACGTCTCGCCATCAATAGTAACTCTCCCATCAAAATTATACAAATCCAGATTGGGATCCTCAATCACCACGTGGGCTCGACAATCAACCAACTTCTCCACCGTGGAGCATTTCTTCGCCAAAGGAACCGGAGGTGATTTCGTCTTTAAATTTGTCTCACCATCCAAGGCCATGGTTTCGATAAAAGCGATATTATTAGGTCCATCTGCATGCAAAAGGAGAATATCTGCGGGTACCGCTTCGTCCCGTTCAAGTTTTATAATATCCCCGACCTTGAGATTTTTCCACTTCAACGTTGTCCAATGTCTTGGTCCAGAAGCAGTCGCTTCGATGTCGATCTCGTGCACCGTTTCGGGAGAATCAATACCCAAGCCCTTCTTGGCCCTCTTTGATCGCGGATCTTTAGATCCGATATGAGATTTCTCATTGATATCTAGATGTTTATATGCGCTTAAAACCAATGTTTGATTGTTATTCTCAACTTGATCCAACTTGTAGCGACGAACGTCATCATATCCCTCCTTGGCCATACTGATCATCACGAAAACTAAAAGTGGAGCAATGGTGGTATAGCTTCCCGTAGGTGAAAGTCCAGGAACCATTTGAAGAATAGAAACAAGTAAAAAGTACGCATTTGCCAGCTTTGAAAATTGGAAGAAAAGCTGTCGGGGTACAAAATTCCATATTGTGTATCGACTAGAGCGAATAGTATTACCGATATATGCAACTCCAGTCCTCTCATCAATTAGCGGGGTCCCTCGCGGACGAGTAGCATCTAAATCAATATGTCGTCCATCTTTCGAAGGAGGTATTTCCCTTTGTCTAAGAATATCTTTCAAAATCTTCTCTCTCCAAAACCATTGCGATGTCTTCTTCGCTTTCCGGATAATCGAATCGTCCCCCTTAACTTTGCGCACGAAGCGATCATAATTTGGTAAATCACTCGTCCCAAAAGCCTTCTTGTCCTTGTATCTGGAGGCTCTACTCGAGCTCGTAGGTTGGGTACTCTCGCTTAGTGTCTCTTCAATCTCATCATGTACCGGACATACAGCCACCGAACTTTGTGTCTTCTTCCCACCATTCTGTGAAGGTTCTGCTTCTGCAAGTTCGATATTCTCCGGCTCGGGGTCCGAATTGTTCAATCCTCGCGCAAATAATGTCCTTCTCAACGAATATCCTCTATCCCTCGTCCTCGGCGAAATTGGCGACATCCCCAGAATCCTCCTCCCTTGTCCCGATGTTGTTGATCTGCCATCTGCAGCTGTTTCATTCCCCGCTACCCTAGTATCGATACTTAAATTCGGAGTCGCAGGTCTCTGACTAGAAGATTCGACAAAACTTCCTCGTTCTCGTTCTACATCCACCGAGAAGCGCACACGATGATTCTCTTTATTCGCTGCGAGAGGTGCGGGGACCATTATCGCAGGCGGGGCATTCGAATCATCTGCTGAGGTTATTTCATCGCAAGACGATGGACTCGTACTTCTTGCTTCAATATCACCGGTCATGGTTCTGATTCATCTGTTGTTCCTCATCAATTTCAAGGTGTTGCGAGAACTACCTCCAGTTTCCTTCTCAATTCGGGAATCAATTTATGCACCGCCTCTCCAGCCACCAGGCAATAATGAGTGCCCTAAAACTACCAAAAATAAAGGTATAAATCAAGTGTAACCACAACTGCAAACAAGAATAACTTTGTGGAGCTTGTGCGAAGCAATCTGTATCTGCGAAGTACCTAGTCTGGGTATGGATGTATGTAGTTTTGCGAAACCTTGTGGAGGAAAGCCCAAGCTCAAGATTGAATACTGTAAACAAAACACAAAACACCAAACACAAATAACAACAACAATAGCAATTATTGATTAATAGAAAAGAAGAAGAAGAAAAAATGGTGTAAAGGTGCAACTATCCGAACGAGTGAGTATACACTGGTACCTAGATTGGTTGATATTTCGGATCCCAATGTCTGGTGACCTTTAGGTAATATGAATTGTAAAGAGATACCTGGTAGGCAGTTCTCCAGCCAAATCTAGCCCTTGAGCCCGTTTTCGTTTCGTTTCGTTTCGTTTCGTTTCGTCATTGCTGATTGATTGTTACTCCGAAGAGTTTTTGGTGTTATCTTACTGGTCGGTACGTATTTGTGTAGTATGTACCATGGTATGTACGTTCCACCTCCCCTGCAGAATCTATGATGATAGAGCAGAGGCTCAGCGATGTAGTCAGCGAGGAGAAATGTTTTACGAGCACACACTAGGGATATGCATGCATAGACATCGTATAACATGTATTGTGATCATAGTGGATATAAATACAAGCTGTCGATATATAGCCAGGTCAGGTATATTCCGATCACAGATTATATCTACGAATATCCAATTCACCCTCTAACGCTCGACTAACATTTTGATACATACATGTAACATCTATACCTGAACGTTTTGTTATTCGCTTACCTATACATCTACCTTCCTGTCCACATGCCTAATATCTCTCTATTCATATCATCCATCCCATCTACTCCTCCATTCATCCATTCATCTATTTATCTATTTATCTATTCACCTACATCCACTCATCCACTCATCGACTCATCCACTCATCCACTCATCGACTCATCCACTCATCCACTCATCCACTCATAAACCACTTATTACTCCCCAATATCCCCCAAATCCCCAGATTCAGATCCAGATCTAGCATAAAATGGATCCTCATACATCCTCATACATCCCAACCCCAACCCCAACATCCCAACACCACAAGTTACAAAACCCCCAAGCTGAACAAGTCCTACCTATCTTACAAAATCCTCAACTAGGTAATACATGGTCTAGAACAGTCAATAGTCGATGTAAAGATCAAAACTTAATATCCAAACTAACAAAATACACTCTCAGACATATCACATCACACAGATCTCACACATCCATCACAAAAGCATGTAGGGAAAAAACTCACACACATTCTCACACATAAATACACCCATCATAAATATTAATTATATGCACATTTTTTTAACTTTACTACTCAAGCTCAAAAAAAGAACAAGACTAAAAAAAACGAGGAAAACGATTTTACAAAATAGATTTTCCACTATTAAGCCCACCATGATTCGTCAATCCATTGCTTTACGCACATGTGCGCCAGCCAGCAAAATAAAATAAAAGTACCAAAAGCAAAATTTGTAAACCCCCCCTACCATGTTATTGTTTCCAGATTCAAATATCGCACGCTTTCCCCCTAAAGCTTTCCACCCGTCCATTTATATCTTCAATCCAACTACCACACAAAATCTCCACAAGAGAGTTAAGTAAAAACAGTAAAGATGAAGCTGATTAACAGACATCAAGTTCAAGAGAGAATGCGCAAGAGCAAAGATATCAATGAGAAAACGATCGCTGTACCAGACAGGCATGATAGAATTGGGTAAAGTCGTCATGCAAGTCGTGGCGTAAAAAGACAGAAGGAAATTTGGGAATATGAAATCAAGACTATGCTACAATGCCCAGAATAGCAAGTGCAAAGTCGAGAGAAGAATCGACATGAAATACCCAAAAATTGAGACGGCCGTTGACACCTCCCCCTTTCCGTGCAAGATGATAATCAACCCAACGCCACCCCCGAAAATCGCCCCAAAAAATCTCTAAGCAAAAACACTTTCTGAAATGCAGACATTGATCATCTCAACCATCTGTAATTTCAAACTCATTTCCAACCAAGGTCAAGAGTAGCCCTTTCAGGCTCTCGACCAATTCCAAAGTTCAAAAAGTTGATCTAATCTACTGAGGCATATGCTCAGGCGAAAGACCATCATGATCAACAGGGAATTGAACAAGATTACTCATGTCCATATCCGCCGCAGATTGTTCACCAAAAGCTGGGGAGTGAGGATGCATAGGAATATTAAGGGTGTGCTTCTGATACATCTCATTAAGTCCGGTACCATCATCGGAGATGGCTGAATCATTATGCATACTGTAGACATCGGCAGAAGCACTTCGGTGCATCATTGACATTGGTGGAGATTGATCAACAATTGCTGGGTCTCCATGACTCATAAAAGACAAAGGAGACACGGATGGAGGAACAAGCGAAGAAGGATCAGGCGACAGGTAAGGCATCGAGTATGGCGTAAAGTTCGAAGCTGGCATTGAAGACGATGTTGGCATTGGCCCTGTCATAGGTCCATTATCATTCTGGTGAGGGAAGAAGCCAGGGCTGGCATAATCCGATGGGGAAGTTGTTGTTGCTGCTGACATGGGATACTGTCTGAAATCCATGCCATAACCCGATGAGGTATCAATCCGTAGATTAGGTCCAAGAGGTCCGAGGTTGTTTGGTTGTTGAGGAATAGGAGCAAAGATGTTGGGGTTTCCATGTTGGTGTTGATGTTGATGTTGGTTTTCACCAGGGTGTTGAATGAGGAATGATGGCATTGGGTTGTTGAACATGGAGAAATCGACGGCCATTGGAACGGATCTACTCCTCTGTCTTCTGTGACCAGGTCCACGCGCACTTGGATGAACACCAATACCCCATTGAGATTCTTGGAACATACCAACATGCGCTTGCGCATTGAAATTTGGCTGAGAAGACGGACGGAGACCAGTTGGAGATGCAGGTGCTGAGATAGATAATGGTTGTTGGTGTGTGAATGGATTATCGCGTGTGATGAAAGACTCAAGGGAAACAAGCTTGGCTAATTGACCACTGAGAACCTTAGGGTGACCACCCAAATGATGAACCATGACTTGAGATGCTTGCTGGTCTTCTGTGAAATCACCACATTGGTAAAATCCACCCGATCCAGAAGAATCCATGAAAAAGTTTGGCGCACGAATAAGTTCAACAACTAATCCACCAGGTCGCGACTCATTATCTCCATTTTCCAGGTAGATATTTTTGATTGACGAAAATGGATACTCAATCTTGTAACCAGCTTGATCGTTATTGATGTAGTAAGTCATTGTTGACTTATCCGGCGAGTAGAAGATGATGAGGTCCATGGCATTCTGACCAATTCGTCTCCAGGATCCAATACTCAGTGATCTACACGAAAGATGATGAATCACTATTCAATGTCAGCGTCAGATCACAACATGAAGAGTTCTGTAGTTCTACTTACCAACTTTTCCTTGAGGGCCGTGATCACCACCCATAAGCATGTTGCCACTGCCGTAAGGCATAAGTCCACCTCGACCCAAGAAGTTACCACCCAATGACTTTCCTGATTCCATCTCCTGAATCGCAAGGTATTGACGCATAGTTTCTGGAATTTCACAAGTCTCTCCAGTCTCGATACTCTTCTTTGCCATGAGCTTGATCTTTGCACGTCTGCGAAAGGCAATTAGACTATGCGATGTTTACTTAGTGTATGAAAATAACTGACCTGTTTTGAAACCAGATTTGAACAGAACGTTCAGTCATGGTGATATCTTCCGCGATTCTCTCTCTAACTGTGGCTGTAGGTGTTGGGTTTTTATTAAATTCCATTTCCAAAGTAACCAGTTGATCTTGTGTAGCTCTCTGTCTCTTCTGATTCTTTTGTTGTTGTGTTAATGTGCTCTTGCGCGGAGGTCTGCGGGAAGCCGAACTACTTCCAGCCGAGTTCGACGCGGTAGGGGAGGGTGTTGAGAGCATCTTGAGAGCATCTTCTTGCGACATGTCCGACATCTTTCTCAAGCTGTTGGGACCGTAGTCAATTGCTTTCGTATATTCCGAATAGTTTAATCTTCCTCCAATGTTTGTGTATGTAATATATGACAAGCGGTTGTCTTTGGTTGCACGAGTCTCTGTGATCGTCGAGATGCTATGTGCTTTGTATGCACAGGTTGCTTTTCTGGATCGGAACCTAAGTGAGAATGAATAAAAGGGTCTTTGAGTAAATCCAAACTTTGATAAGATGGATATATTTCAAAACAAATGCTTCGCTGAATCTTGCAGGAAATATTGTAATGTATTGTATAGATTTGAATAGATTCTCAAGAGATTCGTAAATGAAGCGTCGTAGATTTATGAAGAAAGAGTGTTGAAAGGGTCAAGATGACTCTTCTGTTTACTTTGAGGTTGAATGTAAAGACTGGAAGTGTGAAGTTCGAATCGAAGGAGTGTTCAAGTCAAGAATGACTTTATTCTTTTCTCTACAGACAGAATAATTGTGAAGAGGTAGAATGTAAATGTGAATTTGATAACTGAGAATCCGAAGGAGTGTAATGGACCCGAAGAATCCGATTAAAAGAAAGACAAGAGGGAAAGGGGAGAAAATCACAAGGGGGGTGGAAAGAGTTTTGATAGAAGAGACGATGATGAAGTTGTTTTAAGAGAGAGGAAGATTCCACGATAGTAAAAGGGAATAAGACAAAAAAAGAGGGAATGGGAAGGGGGAAAAGGCGAGCGGATCAGAGGTGTGGGTATAGTGAATAATAAATTTTAGCGTAATAAATGGTGGGAGTAGTGGGAGTAGTGTGGTAAACTGGTAGTAGTGTGGTTATGTTATGTGGTAGCGTAG